ACCTATGTGTTAAATAGTAGGACTTGTATTTGAATATCATTATTATCTCAAATTTTTGCAGTCCAAAAATATTTCTTGGTTTGGTTTTGAATAACCTGAAAAATCAATCATGCAGTCAGTCTTTAGGACAGATCCTTCAGAGGATCTTCAATTTACATCAGAGATCTATTCCTACGATGCAACATAACTTGATTTTCGATGTAGGTCGGAACTCACCTACATAAGTACCCTCAAGTCTTCCTTCTGCTTGGGAGCCATAATGAAGGGCAAAATAGTTTCTCCTCCCCCCAAAACGACACAAACGAGAGATAGCGAAAGTAGTACAATCCAATATGGCACGCAGCCAGTGAAGAAACAACACCATCTCCCACATATAGTGCTGCATGACAGCGTGTTACATTATGGGAGATGGCACCATAACAATACGATCCTGTGTCCGACATAATCCGAGAACCTTCTTTATAGAATTTGAAAGAAAACATAAGTTTGATATCATCATTCCAAGAGTCAAAGGTCTGTCTTGCAAGCCCAACATCATAAAATATTGGGGATGTAAATGAAAAACGGGTAAGAAATTTACATAAAAAATTGCAATGCACAACTACCCCTTGGCCCACTAAGAGCCAAGGCAATCTTGTGGTCCAGAGTAGCATTCTTTTCTTATGGTAAGAAAGGTTGTGATTGACCAAGTCTTGTAGGGAAGCACAAACAATTACCATATTTCAAGGCCTACCAAAGCCGATCAGATCTGAATTCTGATTTCCTTTTTGAACAGATACCACAAAGAATAAAAATTCTTTTTGAAGTAAAATTTGGTTTTCTCCTTGATCGCCACATTCATCAGGAAGATCAATTATGTATAACATGACAAAATGAAGTCATAGTGAAACACATTTTAACTGAATGTACTCACTTAACCCCTGTAAGACATAAATACTACTCGGAAAACAAAAAAAAAACGGCTTGGAAATACTGAAATTCTCAACATAATGTCCTACGTCGAAGAAATAGTTTTATACCAAAACATATAACACCTAAAATAGATCATCTATAAACTTGAATATATCTATAAAACATATATTTACCCTGAAAATATGAAATTATTTACATTATATCTGTAGTTAAAGGTATAAAATTTTGTTCAAAATATTTAGATTTCAGCATTAAGTAACTCATATAGGTGTTGATATGACACTAAACAAAAACAACATCACTAAACCAAACATTCACCAATTTTATAAATCCTTACAAAATGTTCATCACTGATTTGTTTCTCTATATTTTCCCAAGATAATTTTTTATTCTTCTCGGCCTTCATATATTGTTGTTGGTGATACATTCATTATATTCTCATCTCATCGACTACTTTTCTCGCTTACTTCAAGTTCTATACTGACACCCCCAACCCTGCCACATGCTTATCATCACCTAATGGCTTCAAATTCCAACACTTTCAACATCCACTTTTCCTTATCTCCCTTGCTTGATTACAAAATTGCTTTTCTGTTGTTCAGAAAATCCCTTTCTTATTTTGCTGCCTATGAACAAAGACAAAAGGAAAACTTATCTTAGCAAAATATTTTGTTCTTAGAGAGACTTTATGAAGGCAAATGTAAAGATTTTATTTTGTAACAAGTATTTATAGACAAGAGCAAAAATCAGTATCTGTCAATATTTCTGAGATAAGGTATTATGTACATTATTTACATTATTCGGACACAATAGATACAGGCGTTAGTTAGATTCAGTGGCAAGAGCCAAAGTGTGTGAGTTCAATACCCGGTTAAGGCAGTGGAGAACTTTCAGGGGGAAATTAACAGGAGATAACTGACATCCATTAAACATGTCAAGTGGAACTAGAACAGTCTACCCCAGTGAGCGAAATAAAGGGTTCAGTTTGACATTCCAACCACCTGAAGAAGACCGGAGCGTAGAACAGCTGAAACGTTGTAATAAATATGGCAACAAAGATGAGGACAATAGTCCGAATAATGTAAATAAGAGCAAAAATGTTATTGATTTTTCAAGATTATTAAATTTAAGAAACACTCATAAATATTCATCAGGTTAATGGAAAAGTCTAGGTAAATTATGGAGGACGTTAAGTGACATAATTTAATGTCTAATAAACGAACGTGTGTAAAAGTTGTTCTTGAAATTTTTATGCACGTTAATATTTAAAATTATAGTTTGGTGTTATATATTTTAAATAACATGAGTTCATGAATTTAATCGTTTTCTTTTAATTTTTTAACATTTTTATAGTCATGTATGCTGGATTGGGAAATAATGTATCCTAAATTATAGTCATGTTCATGCTAACAGGGATTTCTCTTAAGATTTAACATTTCACTCTGGATTTCACCAGTGTCTCGACAGTCGGCTATGATTGAAAAGCTCCTTCTATGATGATGTCTGGTTAACCTCCTTCTATGTTATAACCCCTAGAATTTCAGAAGGAGGCCAACAGGTGCTGCACTCTGCTCAAGGCATGAGAATTCAGTAGACTAATGTTTTTTTATGTCCACATACCAAGGCTTATTATTATTGAGACAGAGTAACATATCAACAAAATGATGATGCAGTACAAATATCCAAAGCCCTATGTACCCATCATGATACCTATCTCAATAAGCGTATACCAAACACATGTATCACATCCAAATATGTGTGATAGGATGACAGATGTTTAGCAGGTGGTCTCAGTTAGAAATACCTTCAGGTTGGATAATCGAGTCTGTTCAGAAGGTCTCTGTTTGAAGGTGTTCCTAAGTATCTATATTGGTCTTTCAAGTAGCCTTGACTGCATTAAACTTTGTTGTAGCCTACCTACAGATGGTAATGGGTATGTCCTCATTCACATAAATACAGTAGTAAATACTGTATGTTGGTCTGCAGTTGGAGATTCATTGTGGAATTCACTTGACTCACTTCTAGCAGTTGACTACTTCTACACGCCGCTGGCGAATCTTATATGTGTTGTTCTTGTCTTAACTATTAGCATTCATTACCAGTTTGATTATTCTATTCAGTAACCTTCCCTAGGTTACAACCTCCAATTAATTAAGGTCAGAAGCCACGACAGCCGCGCCTAGTCTAATATCAAGTTTATTATTATTATTGTTGTTGTTGAACTGAGAACATTATTAGAACAAATGTAAAAAGTGGATCACTTAAAGAAGACCTTGCGAGAACAAATGCATCTTTTCTCTATGGGATTCAGGAAGACTTAGTTCTTCTGCTATTTTTATATTTTAGCATACCTTTGAGGCATTTTCCTTCTCTTTCCTCTTCTGTTTTCTTTCCTTTCACTCAGCATTAGCTTTATCCAGATATTTCATCATATGTCACATATCCCGTCTTTCATGAATTATTGAATACAAGTGCCCAAAATAATTAAAGATCCAATTTTGACAAAGACGACTGCTTGTGCTGATTTAGTCAAAACCCATGCAGTTTGCTGTTAGTATCCAAAGGAGTTAAAACATGTTTTGCTTTTATTTTTAATTTCTATTTGTTTTTAAAACTCCTCGAAGATGAAAGTGCTGTTCTTTAAAAATAAACATATCAGTAAAAAGTACTTTATTTTTAATTCAGGAATGATTTTTTAAAATCATATCTAAATTTTCATTTACAGAGAGTTGATACAATATTTAAAACTTGATCTACAAGGAAAGGACGTGTGCCTTGGATAATAAAATTAGAGTACTTATCTTGACTTACCATCAACAGATATCACCTTAAGTGCATACATTATACATATGACATTGTGTGGATAACAGATTCAGAGACTAAATTCAAAGAACAATCAAACAAGACAGTGAAGGATAGCAAGAACAAAGGACTAACCATTAACTGTACACCCTTGTGCAAATTAATTGAAACAAAACTAATAATTCCGTTATTGTTTACTTTTCCGTATTTTTCCAATGCACATGTTAGTACTTCGTATGTCAATTCAACGAAGTCATTCCTTGCAGATTGATCACAGATTCTCGATTGAATTTAAATCAGGAGACTTTCAGGGCCAATCTATGATTTGATCGCTGGTAAGGCTTGCCAGTGTGTTCGTGCAGTGTTAAATTTTCGTAGGCTTCATTGGAGTAACGTCCATCGCAGACAATAACCGTAGGACAACTAATCGACAGTCGAGACAATATTGTCTGAGCGAGATAAAGAATCTAATACAATCACGGATGACGCAATATTTTTCAAAGCCAAACAAATTTCATCATACACCCCGGAAATAGATTAATATTACTGCACACTACTGCAAATGGCCTAATCTGAGGTAAAAATAGAAATCGATGACACCCTGTCACCCCAGTGGGTCTAAAACTGACCGTATGGTGAAAGAAAAGAAACTAAAGCGGTTGTTTCAATTAATTTGCACAAGGGTGTAAGACAATGTATGATTGTCAATAAAAAAGACATCTCAAGGCGTAAGTTACACATCAAGGACGTTAAAATTAATCAAATGTGACAATTAAATTATCTAGACAGTGGAATACCATGTAACGGAAAATGTGACCTAGAAAGATACTTTTTTGAAACCCAGTGAAATAATAATTGATTAAAAAAATGACATTTGTGATTCTACTGTTGAATGTTGAGAATAAAAATGTTAAAAGCACTGTTCATAACAATTAGAAAGAATTATTTGGACAGAGAACAAGGAAAGAAGCCTTGGAAAATCTAATCCTCAGAAAGTTTATGGAAGTCACGAGAAACAGAGGAAAACAATAATATACTTGAACTGTTTCTAAATGTCTAAACGAACAAATACCAAAGAGACGTTCATAAATCAGTAATTATTGCTGGGAACAGAAGGTGAAGGAAGCTGTGGAGAATCACGATCGGTTATATCATTAAAGGATATATCATACAGAGATAAAAATAACGAAACTTTTTTTTTCAGAACAGAGTAATAGAGATAGTTAGATATGAACCAAGTTAGATAGATATGAGCCGAGAACACGTAAGAAAACGTATGAACCGAGTTAGAATGATAGATATGAATGGCTTATAATGATAGATATGGACCGAGTTAGATAGATAGATATGAGCCGAGTTAGAATGATAGATAGATAGATATGAACCGAGTTAGAATGATAGATAGATACAAGCCGTGTTAGAATGATAAATACATAGATATGAGCCGAGTAGATAGATAATGAACCAATTAAGATAAATAAATAGATATGAGCCAAGTAAGAGAGGTCGATAAATATGAACCAAACATAAATAGATAGATAAATACATATGAACCAATATAAAAAGATACATATGAATCGACTACGATAGATAGATATGAATGGGAATGGGATAGATAGATAGATAGATAGATAGATAGATATGAATCTTGGAAGTGATAAGAAATATCCCCAGAATTCTCAAACATATTAATCATTGTTGTCAAATTAAGAATGTTTAGCGTTATAAGTCGTTTTAGGTTTCTGCCCAATTCCTTGTTTGCTTTCCTTTTGTCACAAGGAATCGTGCAATTGATCGCTACCCTGAATAAATGACATTTCCACAATTGGTAATCTTTCTTCATCAAACACAAATTTCAAAAGCAGGTCTTACAATCTTTTAAAGATATTATTATTATTAGTAGTAGTATTAGTATAAGTATTATTATCAATACTGTTATGAAATACATCGATTTTGTCACTGAAAAGCAAACTTTGACGAATATTAAGAATTCGGGAGAGAGAGGAATAACATTGACTGTCTGCTGCTTTAGGTGACGCCATAGTAATTAATAACTTAAATTGAAATTCTCTTCTACGAGTAAAAGAAAAAAGTTAAACATTAATGAAACAGGAAATTGTATTTCTGACTTATTTTCGCAGTCTTGAGTAAAATAAAATGATTTAATCAAATCTGAGATAAAAGCGATGTGACTTGGTGAAACTTACCATACAAACAGTAAAATGAAGAGCTAAAAACCAATAAAACAAATGTTTGCATGAGAAAATTTATAGAAAAATTATTCTTGATAAATCTTGGATAATTTTTTAAAAGATTATAAGATCGCGAATACAAGGCTTTTGATAATAGGAAAACAGAAAATTTAAAAGTTAAAGAAAAATTTATAGAAAATCATTTCCACATGTTTTAAAATCTATTAAAATAGTTCGTTCGATAACAGCAAAAGTATTTAAATTTAACTCTATTCACTTTTGATTATGTGACGATCTTCATCACACATATACATACATACTTACACAAATACAAATCATACAACGACAAGCATTCATTGGATAATAAATAAACACTACCTTGTAATAGACAATTTACAAATCGCAGCAATGCGACAATTTTGTAATCGCTCTATTTAGTCATGTAGTCAATTTTGTGCACTTTTGGGAGAAACGGATCACAGAAGCTTTCTTGAGTCTCCCCAAAACTCGCTCGCTGATTGGTCAATGCCAACCAATCAGATTGTCTGCACGTGAAGAACAATTCTTCCCGCGCAGCGATTCAGAGCCGATGATTACCTATATAATCAAAAAATATTCTTAGACAATTAGGGATATTTCAGCTGCCAAACGAATCCACGACAGTTGAAACCATGCGCCAATCTTCTCACTCACACCACCACTCACATGCTGAATATTCCTTACACTCACATAATCTTTTTGTCTCGACTGTCGATTAGTTGTCCTTCGGTCATTGTCTGCGATGGATGTTATTCCAAGAAAGCTTACGAAATTTGTAGCGCTGCACGAACACACTGGTGATCAAATCAAAGTACTATAGACTAACCCGGAAAGTCTCATGATTTAAACCCAATCGAGAATCTGTGGTCAATCTGCAAGCAATGACTTTGTGGAATCGACATTCGAATTACTAACATGTACACTGCGTCATGTTTCATTGGAAACATACGAAAAAAAGAGTAAATATTAACGGAATTATTCGTTTTGTTTCAACTAATTTGCACAAGGGTGTACAGTTAATGGTTAGTCCTTTGTTCGATAGAAATGCTATTAGCAGTGTTTAGGTTTATATGTTAATTAGATATTTAGTATAAATTCATACAGATTTCAGTACAATTCATCTTATTTTCCTTCATAATGATTAAATATTTACTCATAAAAGCAATAGTAAATTTTTCTGTCATATCTTTCTCTTTTACACCTTCAGTAAGGAAACAAGTGAAGATAAAGTCAATCTATTTTTGTGAAATGCCGAAAGTGTATCGTACATATTGAGACATACTCTGAGCAGGTGTGTATTAATATCGGGCTAATAACTGACTGCACAGATAACACTTCTGGAAGCCATGTTAGTTCATCGCTTTTCCCAAGTAGGTACTACGCATTTCTTCCCCGGAAAGATGAGATGCTGTTTTTGTTAAAATTATACAATTGCTTGCATAGCTACAGGGAATAGACCAAGTTAGAAAACGTCAACTTTACTTTTGCAATGAACTGACATTATTCTGAAACATACACGTCGAAATCTATGCTTCTACAATTTTGAGATAACTCGCTTTGAATAATTTAAACTCTAACGTCTCTAATTTTTTGCGGTAAACATGTATTCTCACCTTTCATTTTACTGACAATAAGATGCGTGACTTTTACAGCATTTGGAAATCTGAGAGGTTTAAATGCAAATGAAAGAAATTATGGGGTGAGTGGATTAGAAACGATTTGATTAAAAATTGGTTATTCATTCAGGTTTGGTTTGGTTTACGGCATATCAACCTTAATGGGTCATTTAATGCCGACAAGATTTTTATTGCTGGTTTGGTTTGGTTTGTTTTACGGCATATCAACCTCAATGGGTCATTTAATGCCGACAAGATTTTTATTGCTGGCAATATTTTTTCATAAATGTATTGTCAGTTATTTTTTTTCCCCTCAAAATATTTTTCCTTCAAAAATGTATTACTGGTAATATTTCCTCAAAAATGGTATAGCTCGTAATATTTTTTCTTTCAAAAAGGTATTTCTGGTAATATTTTTCTTCAGAAGTATATTGTTGATAATATTTATTTTCTTCAAAAATGTATTTCTGGTAATAATGTATTCCTGGTAAGAATTTTTTCCTTCAAAAGATTTATTGCTGGTATTAAAACATATTTACACTTTCATAGTGTTTTAACCCTAGTTTGGGAGTTAACTATTTGCCCATAGTTGGGACCCTAACAGGTGCTACCACCCCGGGTCAGAATGAACCTGGGAACACCAGCAGTTAAGAGGTGGTTCCACGCTCCTCAAAACCTTCTGATCAGAGGCTTTGCTGCTGGACGTTGTTTATCGTCATACCCAGGACGCGATTTATTTAGGTTATACTTAAACGTACATCACATAGCAGAATGTTGCAACTATAACGCAGCATTTTTATCTAATATTTCACAGGATGCATATACTTCACTGCAACTCTAAGCAGATAGCCGGATATATATATATATATATATATATATATATATATATATATATATATATATATATATATATGCATGTTTCATTAAAAACGACAGACAAGGTACTACACAGGTCCACAAACCGAAAATCTATGTTCGCTACGTAGATGATATCTTCATTTTAGCTGATAACATTAAAGAAATAGAGATACTTAAGACCACATTTGAGAAAAACTCCGTCCTTAATTTTACATATGAACTTAGCCAAAAAAACAAACTACCATTCTTAGATATCCTCGTTGAACACAACAATAACACTTTCATTACATCATTATACAAAAAACCCACCAGCAAAAACTCGTGCCACCTTAATTTCAAAAGCGAATGCCCACTTAGGTACAAAATAGCTGTAATAAAAAACTTTCTAAATAGAGCCCACCAGAACTCATCCTCCCGACTACTCTTTCTCAAAGAACTTAACAACGTTAAACAAACACTAATTAACAACGGTTTCCCTAACTACCTTATAGACCAACAAATTAGAATATTCCTCCCCAAAGCAAGTAATAACGATAGCGAACACACAACTAAAAATCACATACACATCTATTACAAAAACCAAATGCATATTAATTACAAACAAGATGAATCTTCTCTAAGACATATTATAAAGAAATACACTACTCCTATTGATCCGAATAAAAAAATCAAATTATTATCTATTATAAAAAATTTAAGACGGCCAACCTTATCCTCAAAAATAACAACACACCAACTAAGTCAAAATTACAAAGAACGAACATTATCTATGAGTTCAAATGCCCTTTAAGGAACTGCGTTCCTCACCAAACCGGACTCATAAATAATTACATCGGCTACACAACCACATGTTTATCCAGACGTCTTACATTACACCTATCTGACCACAGTTCCATCAGAACACATTTAAACACACACTCAGATTTACCCGACACTATTAGGAACATACTAGTAGAAAACACAAATATATTAACTGCATCCACTTGCAAAAAAAGACTAAAAATAATGGAAGCTCTAATAATAAAAAAGAAAAAGCCAACCTTTAACAATATTAACTATGAACAAAGCCACAATGTGCTAACCGTATTCGGAAACTAAAAACATCACTACCGCACACTGAACATACACAGAACTCACACACTCTACTAAGCTGATAATTGAATCATCCTTGATAATGGCTAAAGGTATAGCCGAAAGCGCTCGGAAACACAGAACATTCGGACAGTTCTTACACACTCTTTGTCCAGAAAAGAAAGCTCTTGTCAGAACACAAGAAAAATTAAATAAAAAGCTCAACCTTGTCTGTCGTTTTTAATGAAACATGCATAAAGGAAGGATTGCTGCCTAAATATACAAATATATATATATATATATATATATATATATATATATATATATATATTTTTTGTTACTTATTTTGTTACTTTCCGTTTCTTCTTTGTTACTTTTTCTTTGTTACTTCTTTTTGTTGCTTTCTGTTTCTTCTATGTTACTTTCTTTTCTCTGTTACTTCTTTTCGTTACTTTCCGTTTATTCTTTATTCTTTGTTCCCCAAAATGAATGACAAGAATTCAGAAAAAATAAAAACTTTCAAACTCAACTTGAATTCACACCCTTACCTGGAAAATGCAAAAGAAATGAAGAGAATAACGAAAATACTTCGCTTAAGAATGATAATAAAGTATAATACGGATTTTTTTCTAAAAAATAAGTAAAATCAGGGGTGCGTATTATGCACAGCTACAAAAGAAATTATGTATATTATAGTAGAAGCATTTTCCCAGATTTTCAGCACAATGTTCGGGGTGCGTGTTATGGATGAAGGCGTATTATACATGGGGAATTGCAGTAATCAAGTGACAGAAAATAAAATTTAAAAAATAATGAATACAGAAAAAAAGTTGAAGAAAATTTGTCATTTGAAAACCACCAAAAATTATTCGACTTAAAAATATATTTTTTGTATAAAAAAAAAATAGTGTACCTTCGTATTTTTTACCAAGGGACTCCCGATATAAACCTCTACCCAATCAGTGTTACATATTTCTAAAAATTTATTGATTAGCTTGTTTTTACGGTTTATCACCCCCTTTGTTGGTTATTCAAAGCCGAAACATATTTTGGATTGTAAGAACAATTATTTTTATTTGAGAGTGAATATTAACAATTTTTTGAGAATAACAATTGTTTTTTTTCCAGATACGAGTCCTACTATTTAACCCATAGCTGGGGATAAAGAGATAGGTTCATATCTTTCCCAAGGGTATTTATGCGTAAGCGAATGTAATGAATCCGACTGGGGTTTGAACTCGGCTATCCGATTTCTCAGTCCATGCTAATTTCCATAACACCACCCGCACATCCAACATTTTTAACAATTCCAGAGACCTAAAATTCAAACCCTAAAAAAAAAGACAACTTAAACAAATTGCTATACTTGATTTCTTGCTCGGGAAATATTACAATTTAACAATTTATTGTTCTAAATGAATCCACGAGTGTGAAAGACCCAAAGAATCATTTTTTTGTTTTCATTTCTTTTCGAAATTGTTTGAAGTCAATTTCTTTGATATTTTCTCGTTATTAATTAAAAACAAGGAAATTGATTTTTGTTTGTCAATATCATTGCATCAATTGAACTTCCAAAATTAGGAATATTCTGAATTCAGTAAAATTGAAGAAGCCTTTGATTCCACTACAGTTAATCTTGCAATCCGTTGAAAGCAAGTGAAATTCTCACTTAGTGCTCCATAAAACTGGCCATGTACAAAAATTATTTTAGTTAAATAAATATTTTCTTTACATCTTTTTTTCTTTCTTATATCATTTGTGTTTATGGGTCATTTATAAAAGAAATTGCCTCGAACGGCCTCTGAGAGTGGATATGATCCTTGGTGAGAAATACTTCCGAGCTTTGACAATGGATAAAAATAGATTAAAAAAAATACGTTTCTTTTGATTATTTCATGTACATATTTAAAATCATTTCACCCCGAAAAAGGCGATTAAGCCACTAAGACGCAATGGTGGATGGGGGTTACTGAGGGTCTAAAGAATCTAAGAAAAGGAAAAACATTATTAAGGCGAGAGGTCAATAAAGAACAAGGATTTAAGGGCAACAGAAGATGACGATTGACATTGCTTTTCAACTTTTGATGATCAAATTTGACTGGAAAGCAAGAAGCCGAAAATGAGAAGAAACTCTTAGCATAGAACTTATGGTTACAGCTAGCAATTTCAACTGTAAAATGATGAGACCTAACTGCCAATCGAGTACTGCGCTTACAATTTGTAAAGTCAGGAAACCAAACAGGAAAGTAATATTTATTTCCGAAATAAAACAGAAAATGTGTCACAAAGCAAAAAGAGAGCATGGGAAAGGTTAGCCATCAATCTGTCATATTAAACTTAGCTAGCCGCAATCACTGACCCAAATGAATATTCCTTAAACCAGAACACAACATTCTTACTTAACATTCTTAATATAATCACCATAATACTTCAAAGACTCTATGAAGTCCTAACTAGTCCCCATATGTCTGTTGGTTGAAGATAAAGTAACAATTTTTAAAACATGAAACCCTAAAGGGTAAAGCTCATCCAAACAATTGCCATGAAAGTATTTATAGAAAAGGCAGAGGGAATCTGCGTTACGGTAGTGAGAATATAACTGCAAATAATGAAGGTAATTTGTTTTGTTTTACGGTATATCAACCTCAATGAGTTATTTAATGCTAACAAGATTTTTATTGCTGGTAATATATTTTTTTTTTCAAAAATATATTGTTGGTATTTTTTTTTTTAAAAAGTGTATTGCTGCCGGGTACCGAAATATATTTATTTTTTTATATCTGGGCACATATTTCTCTAGAATGCCAGGTCGCACCTAGACATTATTCAGGGCGTACCAGTGCGCCCCTGCGCACCATTTGAGAATCATTGCAATAAAGAAAGATTAAAACAGCGTATAGCCTACCTAAAAAGCTTTGGTAAACGGTTGGGAGAACTTTGGCAAATGGGTGGGAGATCTTCGGTAAATGGGAGGGAGATCTTTGATAAATGGTTGGGAGAACTTTGGTAAATGCGTGCGAGAACTTTGGTAAATGGTTGGGAGATCTTCGGTAAATGGTTGGGAGATCTTTGATAAATGGTTGGGAGATCTTCGGTAAATGGTTGGGAGGAGAGGAATAGCCAAAAGTCAACATTTACAATGGACAGGAAATTGTGGGAAGCCAACGTCCTGAAGGGACATGGCGCACGAAGAAGAAGAAGGAGGAGGAGGAGGAGGAGGAGGAAGAAGAAGTCCTAACATTTGGAGATACGCTGATGGTCGCCCCGTTATCACGGTGGTTTTGGTCAGCATTTCAAACAGATAAGAAGCTTCATCTTTTCATGTGACGATAATACCGAGTGTTCTTTAGCCGCGCGTAAATTCTAACTTAGGATATGAGTTAGCAACTATATAATTTTCTTGTTTGTTCGCTACAGGGTTAATGCTTTTCGAGACGTTGTGAACTAAGTACTTACATATATTTGCCTAACTCTTTTATAGCGTCATAAAGAGAGAAGATGTTATATGGCCTTTTAGTTGTTGCTTCTGGTGAAAATCCCTAAAAGATGTAGTTTCAGTTATTTGATACAGTCCTTTGTTCGCTGGAGAATCACAAGGAACTGTACCAATAACAGAATCCATATTATTTGAGGACTTTAAGTCGTCTTAAAAACGGGACAGAATACAAAATTAATTGATCAGCTGCTCATAAAATAAATTATATTGAAAATTTGACAGTCAGTTTTTGGAGACACTTTGTAATAATATTTTTTATGTAAAGTTTTCGTCTGTGTCTGTTGGAGGCCAGCAGTTGTTAGGTTTTTATCGTGACCGAATCAACGTCAGATAGAAAAGTGAAACAAACTGGCCATATGAATTCTATTGTTATCAAAAATGGGACATTGTTTGAATAAATTTTGTGTAAATAAGGTTAATATTGATATTGGAAACCATATTTAGGCCTTGAGAAAGAATTTTGGGGCTTGTGGGTGTAAATAAAATCAGTGATAAAAAAAATGGGTAAAGTTCAGTGAATTTATTCCTCCATCATGTATGTATATATATATATATATATATATATATATATATATATATATATATATATATATATATATATATATATATATATATATATATATAATATATATATATATATATATATATATATATATATATATATATATATGTGTGTGTGTGTGTGTGTAAAATTTCAGATGGTGTATATCTGTCAAAGGATAATATGAATAAAAACAAAGAAAACTCATCTTAGTTTTCGACGCGTTTTTTCTGATGGACTTTATCGAGGCAAGTTCATTGGGTTGTTAGTGCACTTGCCTTGATAAAGTCCATTAGAGGACGAAACGCGTCGGTTAAGATAATATATATATATATATATATATATATATATATACGCAAATTTAAAAGAACGGAGGGTAAGGTTTCAGCGTTCAAAACATTAATTTAAAACAGGGCTCAATAGAAAAGTAGAGCCGTATTTATTTATTTATTATGTAGTGTTACATTAGAACATACACATCCCCGCTACAAAAGTGTACATCTTGTTTCAACGTAAAAAATATTTTCTAACGTTTCATCAAGTGGGGAATCACGGTTAAGGTAGAAAATCACTGTAATAATATATATATATATATATATATATATATATATATATATATATATATATATATATATAGATCTCAATACATTGAGCTCTTTTTGTTAGTTGTTTACTCGTGTCGGGGTTTTTTTTTGGGCTTCAAACCTATATCTGTGCGATTTTTTCGACAGACTTTCATGTTTCTAGCTCTTTCTTTTTTTAAAACCTTTTTTTTCCTTCGAGATTGATTTGATTATTGGCAAATCAAAATTCGAAGGTTTTCGAAACGAGTATAGTTACCTATACTATACGAGTATAGTTACCTATATATATATATATATATATATATATATATATATTATAAATTAATTGATTTAAATATGTTTTTTTCGCTACACAGTTCTAACCATAGCGAAAAAAAAATTTAAATCAATTAATAAATTAATGTTCTAATTGAGCACTATTTTGTAAAAATAAAATATCTATAGAACACCGGATTATATATCTTACTGTCCTTTCTTTTATTTACACACACACAGATATATATATATATATATGTATATAAATAAAAGAAAGAACAGTAAGATATAAAATCCGGTGTTCTTATAGATATTTTATTTTACAAAATAGTGCTCAATGTAAATTTATAGAGCATTAATATTATAAATCAATTAATTTATAATATATCAATTAAATCAATTAATTTATAATATATATATATATATATATATATATATATATATATATATATATATATATAATTGTAAAATGTTCAAATATTGTCCATTTATATTTATCCCAATCTCTTTTCCAGAAGATACTTGGATGACCAACTGTAAATAGTTTAAGCGAACTTGTATCTCCTTGTCTCACTCCTTTTCCAATCATTATCTAACATATACACACTAGCTGACGGGAATTGATATGATAGTTGATATTCATCTTTTGTACTTATACTTTTGCGTGAACATAATTACTAGAAACAATGATATGTATGTTTTATGCTGTAGTTCATTTTTTAAAAAATTATATTTTAGAATACAGTTTGATTTCTTTAAGAAATTGTAGGATATTATCTGGATTAATAACACGTAAGGATTCTTTCATTTTGATTGATGCATTGCTGGTAATTTTTTATACAAAAACATATTTCTTAGTAAAATATGCTTTTTTATACTTTCACAATGTTTTGTTTTTGTTTGGTGGTTAACTATTTGCTCATAGGGGACCCTGTCAGTTACTACCACTCTCGGTCAGGGTTGACCTGGGAACAACAGAAATTAAGAGGTGCTTCGACAAATGCAGATAATGCTATCAAAACAATATGTTAGGTTTCTTTCTATAATCTGATCACCTTCCGTTTCTTCAGTCATGATGTCGCATACAATTCCCAAAAACACTTTTTTTTATGTAACTGTCTTGTTGACTTAGAGTGTCTCGTTTCGATCCTGATTCGCTAATCAATATATTTATTTGGGTTTTGATTAGAAAATCTTGCTTCTAATATCAATGACTTTTCAACGAAACTTATGTTATTACAAGAGAATTATAAAAGTTTAGAATAGACCCCATGAAAGAATAAAGTGTCATATCAAACATATACTTGTAAAAGTCACTGTGAAGGCTAAATTATATAAAACTTGTGAAAGATCTTATGCACTGTATAATATTTTGTACTAACGTTCACCCAATACAAGGCCCAAGATCCATTCAATGTAGAGTGTAACTGAATAAGTTGTTGGTTGGTTGGTTTTGTTTAGCAGCATATCAACCTCTATAGGTTATTTAATGCCGAAATCTAAATATTTTGTAAGCAAGTTTATTTTATTTTCGGAGATATTAATTTATTTAGTGATATGTGTCTTACTAATTAACCCATATCTGGGGGGAATAGGTAGATTCATACCTTTCTTAAGTGAATATAACGATCACAACTGGAATTGGAACTCGGCTCTCCGATTAACAATTATCCATTACAGCACCAGTAAAATCCAAGGTTACACCACCTGGTATTCCCAGGCAGTTACCCATTTAGGTACTGACCAGGATAGATGTGGCTTAACTTCGATTTCTTATTCTGAGCCATTATTCATTACACCAACGGCACATCCAAACTTACAGCACCTGGCATTCTCAAGCGGTCACCAATCTAGATACTGACCAGGCTCGATGTTGCTTAACTTCGGTGATCGTACGGGTAACGGAATGAAGTGTGTGAGATGAATGTAAGAGTGGGGGGAGTACGGAAAGAAGACGATAAGCATATGGAGGATAAATAATGGTTGAACCTCGACTATTGTAATATTCGGGGAATCACCACGCAATAGTTTGTTCCATAAAGTAGCAGTCATGAGGAAGACTTCCTCTTTACAAATGGAATACGAAAGGAATGAGTGTGACTCAAATCACTTAATTTCTCCACGCGCGTGTTGGTCTTCCCCACGCATTTCCCCAGTAATCCTGACGGACACGCTTCTCTTCTTGATCTCTTCTTTGCCTCTACCCTGACTCATGTCGTACGTGGCAGCTCTGCCCTCTTGGCAACTCCGATAATGCGGTAGGGTCTGTAGATATCTCTTTCTGCTCTCTCATCAGTCACGAACCGACCAACAGCTGATTGGGATTTGTTCAGTGACTTCCTTCGCGAACTAATGAATGGATGGAGCTTGTCTGAATATAGATGTAATAGGTTTATGTTGAGTCTATGGGAAAAGTGACTGTAAGGTTAAAAATAGTTCATCGCCCACACGGCCGTGTTAGTTATATTCAAGACTGGAAACTTAGGATTGGCGTCTACGAAATTTATAAAATTGAAGAAGAATTTTTTTTTAAATTGGCGCATTGAAATAAATAAAGGAGGAAGAGTGAGAGGGGATTGACAGGAATTGAGCGAAAGAGGGAGATAAAATATATGAAAAATAAAGAGGGGGAAGAAAGCGCTTGCAAAAGAGGAAAACGAAGAAAAAGAAAAAAAAAGCTAAAACTTACGGAGAAGATATTACCGTATTTTCCGGCTTACAAGACGCTGCGGCTTGTAAGACGCACCCTAATATTGGAAAAAAATTTTTAAGAAAAAAAAGTCATTCTCATACAACATATTCACCATGCGTCCCTCATAGCACCACGTATTGTCTACCTTAATCACTCATCCGATTTTGTTTGTATGGCAATGACATACTAGTCCAGAGCAGAAAGGCTCTCGCCGCTGCTTGCAAACAGATCATGTTTAAGTTTGTGGCTCGGCTCCAGGAAGGTTTATAGTCTTGGAAATACTTGTAACTTGTACTGAGGTTACAACATATAAAAGGCTGAATTAGATAGCTAAAATTATAGCGTAATAACTCAACATACAAATCCACGTCTCGATCAGCCAATCCAATTAGGTGACCGTACAGGCTTACTTGAGCCTGAGCGTTGCCTTACTTTGGTCTTGGAAGACGCACACGTATTTTTCAGGGTAATTTTTTAGGAAAAAAGTGGGTCTTGTAAGATGGAAAATACGGTATATATTTTTTGTTTACTTGGTCTTTTTTTTTACAGGCATTTTTTTTTCAAATACTGTGTAGCTTCAGGGTTGTGACGATAATAGGTTCCTTGTTTTTATCATCTGTGAATTGCATTGTTTCCTTGAGAAATATAGTAGAATTGATTTCTGTTATTTTCTTTACGCTTTGAAATTCAGAGTTTTTATTCTCTTAGATTGTTTATTGTCCAAGACTAGAGAGCCCAGTTTACTTCTCTATTTAACCTATAGCACCATTCCAAGGTCATTAGACTGGGTTCTTAACGAGGCTCACTGATTTCACTATCCACACATTATTCGACAGGCGTACATTTTGCTTAATTTTCTTTTTCTTCCTTTGATGAAATTTTGACAGCTTTTGTGTGTATTCCATTGACTTGAAAGCCGTCGAGCAGCGTTAGGCAAAGCAAATAAATGGGCGCGTAGAACTGCCAATAAAGACAATCGCACAAGGTCCTTATACGCCGACTGTGGCACCAATAATGGCAGCGGAAGGCAGAATTATTCATTTAGAAGAGAAGTGGGAAATATGTGATTGGGTGGGGGTTGTCACTGTATTATTATCTTGTCGATAGTGCCAGCTATCAAAATCTGGACCTATTTTCGCCAGAAACCTCTTTAATTTGCACCATTGTATCAACGTTCTTTTTCTGCTGCGTAATGTGAGAATTATGACCCAATGGACAAAGGCATTGATTCCCCTCCCACACCACCTCTCGATCTCTAGTATTCAGCCAATTTGAAACATAAAAATGGTTTAAGTCTTGGAATCATTGGCTGTCTATTCCAATCAGCTCTTATTTTCATCAGATTCTATAACATGGATTTTGCTTTCGTATTAAAACGAAAAGATCAAATGATTGACAAGGCTATCGATGAGCACATGTCTGTAAGTAAGAGGAAGTTAGTAAAGAGGTTGTGTGTAAAAGAGGTTGATTATTTAATAAGTTGAGCAGCAAATAACGTTCGATTCTTGCTCCAATATTAGCATGCTCTAGAGCAGAAAACTTCGCCGACAGGAAATACTCGATTCAAGGTTGCAATTCTCTACACGAATAAGAATTCCAACCAGACGATTATAGAAATTCCAATCATAAGCAAGTTTAAGGAACTTTTCATAGTTCTTCTTAATCCAGCAAAAAGCTTTTCAGTGACCATTCATATATATATATTCATATATATATATATATATATATATATATATATATATATATATATATATATATATATATATATATATGTGTGTGTGTGTGTGTGTGTGTGTGTGTGTACACTTTATTTTAGGATATTACACCAGAATCATGTAAAAAATCGCTACACAAATGCAATCATGTTTCGATGTGTATTAACACGTCTCATAAGCTGTTAGTAAATAACTGGTGAGTAGACAATTTTAAACTGAATGTTACGAACGCCGGAAGTGGACTCTATTCGTTCTCATTTTAAATGGCTATATATATATATATATATATATATATATATATATATATGTGTGTGTGTGTGATAGAAATTATTAGGAGGATTTGAGATAATCATAAGTAATTCATCGAGTCATGGAAGAAACCTCATGCATCTTTGGGACTTATCAGTACGCATCAACGAGAATCGAAACCCGGACCGTTATGATACGACACAAGCATCATATCATCTGTACCAACGGGCCTCGCTGTCGAAGAGGTAATGAATTGTTTTTTAATGGATGAAAATAGTTTCATAATAGGAATTCTACGCTTATAAAAGCATATGTGTTCTCTCCAGAGATTCTCCGGTTATTTTGAATATATCGGTTGTACGATTTAACGTTTCATTCAAACATTTTTTTTTTTAAAACAATGCATTTCCAATATTGTCTCTTTCCTCTAGTTCCCAATTTGGCTTCCTGCGGTTTTTGCCTTTTCCTTGAAGCTAAAATCGCCTGTGACTGAAAGAAAGTACTAAATCTAAGGCGCCATTGACCTAGATATACTACTTGTTAACATTAAATGTTTGGATCATTTCTGCAAAGATCTAGCACATAAGAAAATCGCTGGAATTCTACATTCATGAAGAAACTATCAAGAATAAATTTTGTTGAATTGTCAAGTGTATGATCTGTCAGATGTCAAGCAGCATTCGGTGTCAACTCTATATGCCCAATCGATTTATTATTTATTAAGTTTTCGATGAAAACCACTTGTAACAACTGAATCACAATTCTTTAAAAGTAAAGCATCAGATTCACAAAAAGGTATTATCATTTTTCAGGAACAAAGTTCACATTAGGATTTATTCATTTAGTTTGGTACACGGTCTTTGTCAGACGATAAATTTCAAGTCCTAAAGCTTGTAAAATCAGTAATCAAAACATTTACTGGGATTTATACACCAACAACTAGCAAAAGTGGTAACTATTTTGGTCGTTGATGTAATGAATATGCATACACCTGCCCCCCCCCACACCTCCACAGTAATATGATTGACTGGTGTCAGCCATAAATACAGACTGATGTGAAGGTACAGGACGGCACTTATTGTCTACGTCTATTGCCTACGCCTATTGCCTACCACTACTACGAGGACCAGTCCACTATGGTTACCTGCTAGATTGTCCTACTCCGTTACAGTAGTCCAAAAACCACTTTGCTACTTCGAATAAATATATCCATTTTCAGGACATATCAGTCGTCAAGAATAATCGCCATTTAAATTCCGATATAAAGAAAAAAATAAAGTGAAATTCATGACAAAATTTCAGAAATGGCTGTTTGATTTTAATATGTTAGTATCTTCATTATATTAACTTTATTTTTTCTTTGTTATATTATTCCTCGAGACTCAGGGATTAGGAAATTTCAGATGCATTTTTAGCATTTCTCAGTATTGAAGACGCTGTAGCGTGAAGGACACACACTTTCGATGTTCAACTTGACCTTTTCATGACACGGAATGCTAAAGTCCAGACACAGACGGTTCACTGTTGTGAGTGTTACTACATCACATTATAGCCAGAGACTGTTAAACATTTATCAGAATATCGACAACCTTTCAGTATGGACATATTTTATGAAATGGGTAGAAAGCAAAGTGACTTAATTGTGGTCGCAGGACAGAATTAAATACAGAAAGAATCGGTTTTATGGCATGAAACTGCGGAAGAGCATAATAAAAGGATTGATTCCGTTTAATGAGTATTAATTATTTTAATAGGGTGTTGTGGAGGGCCGTGAGTGCTCACATTTTGAAGAGTCACACCACATAAAAGAAGAGTTTAATATAACTAGGTTATACTAAATTGGGTTATCTGAAAAGTGGAAAATTGGTCATGTCCTTTCTAAACCACGTAGATATTTAGGGATGGTCGAATTAATGGTTGAATCCCATCACGATATCTATCTATCTATCTATCTATCTGCATGATAGCGGTAAAAAAATGATATACGTTGGCATAGGCACTTCTGCTTCTAAGATAAGATTGTAGCATCTGAAAAGTGTTATACACTAATATATATATATATATATATATATATATATATATATATATATATATATATATCAGGTCATCCCATAAGTTCTGTCCGAATTTTGAATAAAGAAAACAAGTGACCAAATGTTACATTTAATTACAGATTCAATCAACAATGTATTTTCCCTGATTATCTATGACTTCCTTCCATTTATTAACAAGCTTACTAATTCCATTACT